AATAAATGAGCTTCATAACCATTTTCTTAGTTTATAACTTAATTATTAGATTATTAAATTAATAGTCACTGCATAATATAAGAGGAGAAAGCTGAGTCAACACTCAGAGGCTCCGCAATCCCAACCCTACTACAAAGTGTATCAATTAGGAGTGTCGTAACAAGCAAAGTTATTTGTGAGCTATTCAGGCTCCATTTAAAAATAAACGAGTTTGAGGAGCGCTCAAGAACAAGGTGGACAGCATCCCTTGATAGGATATTTGCGGACTTGGTAGTCAAGCAAATTCAATTGGGAAACAGACCAAAGAATGTTTTTGACAAGAAAACTTGGAATAACATGCGTGCTGAATTCAACAAGCAAACAGATCTCAACTTCTATAACAATCAATTGAGAAAGCACTGGGATGTTCTGCGAACATGCTTCTACAACCTCAAATCAGCTTATGATCAAAATGACTTTGCAGCCACGGAGGACTCCTATTGTGGGTTTGAAGACATTGGGGTACATTTCCTTTTTAACTTGTTGAACGTTTGTTTCTGGCACCTTTATTGTCTGTTCCTGAGAGATTGTGTTTACAGGCACAGCCTAGGCCTGAGCCTATCAAAATCAAGGACTGCTCCATATATGAGCAACTATGCACAATCTTCATTGATTCATCTGCTGGTGGGAAATATGCCCAATCAAGCCACTTTGAGGGATTGGACAAAGTTGTTGGAAATTATATCAGTAGCTTAACTTCACGTCCAGAGGGAGGATCCACCCATCCTGATTATCCAACAACCTCAGGAATAGCCCAAAACAATTCATTGTAAGAGAAATTGACTAAGAGTATTGCACAGAAAAAAAGAAAACGACAATCTGAGGCACAATCTTCTTTAGATCAAAGCAAGAAGGATGAAGAAATATCCGAGGCTATGTAAGTTTTCTTCCTTCATGGACTGTGGCCATTATGTTCCTTTTTGTTTTCTTATTCTTTTTGCATAATTAGATTTATATGGTTGAAATTTAGGCGATTAAGGTGCTCAACATGATTAAGCTTATGGCAAGCCAATACGCGTAAATAAGGTATGAAATTTTACTTTGGTTACATTGGAAGTGGGAATAGTGTTGCATTTAAAGAACCAAAATTTTTTTTTTATGGTTTTTCTATTTTGATTGATTTCAGGCGTCTGAAGATAAAAAGAGGTTAGATTTCGGTGCAAACCTTTTTGTAAGGAGCCTTGACCCTGTATGTATTACTATATCTTTAGAAGTGTGGAGATGCCATGAAGTGCTACATTCTTTTTTCAATTTGTGATGATCTGGTTATAATTTCTGGATGTGGATGAGAAACTTCTGTATGATACTTTCAGTGCATTTGGAGTTAATGTGACAAATCCCAAGGTACTGACTTTGTAATTTCTAATTTTCATTTGTTATGATTGTATGCCTTGGAATAATGTGCTCTGCTTTCTCCATATTTGAAAGCATGTCAGCGTGTCTTCATTTGCCTGTTTAGTTTTTGATACTCTGCTGCCTATTGATGTCATTTATAATTTAATCAACCATTGCATCAGTGTTAAAAGAGTGTTGAGGCTTATAGTTGAACCGTTGAACTAAAGCCTTGGTCATAATTTTATTTGTGATTGATGTTGAAATGAAGTGGAAACCAGTGAGATTGACCAAGTAGGGTGGACTGTTTATGTTATGAGCAATAAGGTTTCCTTAGTGTTGGTTTTGAATATATTTGCATAGTCATGGAATGACATAATCTATGTATGGGCAACTGTTTAGTTGTACATTTTTATTTAATCTATCTATATGGTTGCATTGGTCAAATGAACCCCCCATTATTTTCTCTGGAAAACTTTGTTAAGTTGAGTTCTCAGTTTGTGCAAGAGAAAATGAGATGATATAGCATTTTGTTTTGTAGCTGTATTAAATAAATTTTTTACCTTTATATTGATTGGAGAAACAACAAATGCATGAAAGTTATAATTTCGTTCAAAAAAGAAATTTTTTCCCAATTTTTTTTTAAGAATTAACTCTTAATCTGTGAAAATCTGCAAAACTTGTTAGAGATTGTGAAGTGATTGCATCTTTTGGAACAACAATTCTTTATCCAACTACTCGTGGTAACATTCATATTTTTAAAGCTTTAACTACTTGTACACTCTTTGATGTATTTTTTTATATTTTCATTTAATTAGAATTCGTAAATAATTTTGGAAGTTATTATTATTTTTTTATAAATGAATGTATAGTTTTGTTTATTTATTTTTTCTATGTATGTATATTTTAATATTTATATGATTGCTTTAAAAATAAATTTAATAACAAATATAATAAAAAGAAAAAATTATAAACAAAATATAATTTAAAAATTGAAAAATGAGTATTATCGATGGAAATGTTAACTATTATCAACATAAATATTAACTATTATCGATGGATTTTATCAACGAAAATTCATTAACGAAAAATTTATCGACAAAATTTTTCATTGGTAATTATCGTTAAAATTTTTAATTTACTAAGGAAATACTATTATCGATTTACTTATGATTGATGAAAATTTTTGTCAATACATTTCATCGATAAAAATATTATCGATAAAATTTAAACTATTATCAATGGAAAATTTCGTTGGCAAAACCTTTTTTTGGTAGTGTATATAAGCAAAATGACAAATCAAGCATATATTAAGTAATAAGAAAAATGGTCATAGCTAGTAAACTTGATTAATCAATGTTCCAATCTTTATTTCATCACATTTTCAAATTATAATAGCATAAATATAACTACAAAAAAGATTCAAATCAATACTAATAAAACAATTCAATGTTAAAATATCTAAATTTATTTCAAGACTTTAAAAATATTTTGTTGATCCTCCAAACTTTTCAATAAACAACTTCTTTAGCATGATATGTCATCATTTATGGTTACAAACTAAAGACACTAAATCAAAACATTAAAAATAATAAAAAAAAAGGTTGATCAAAACCTAGACGAATTAACATATAAACATAAAAAGAAAATTATTATTCAAGTAAAAATCAGTAGGTTCTTTTGAATTCCTAAATAATAGGAATGGAGATGGGAACGGAACTAATTTTTTTTGTAAAAAAAAAAAACTATGAAAATAGTTAATTACTATATAGAAATGCACGGATTTCATGTAAGAGCAAGAAATATTATATATATATATATATATATATATATATATAGAGAGAGAGAGAGAGAGAGAGAGAGAGAATTTTAAATTTAAAAAATAAATTAATTATATCTGAATTAACAATAAATTTAAATTTAAATCAATATTTATTATAAACTACACAATAATTCATTCGGGTCAGCATAAAAGCCCGACTCTATCGCATTGTCAGAATCCATGTTATATATTCGAAGGAGGTTGATCTCTTTTGCTACTCTCACGGTACAATCCTTTTCGTGCAGAGCCCCTTCTCTCTTGTTCACATAGACAAAATGTAGGATTAGGACTGATGCCAACAGTTAATCACGGATGAAAGAACTAATTAAGCCGAGATCACTAATTAATATTAATCTAACACTAATATAATATTAATAAAAAAGAATAAATAGAATAAAAAATATTAATATATTAAATTATAGTATATAATATAATTAATATTAAAAAGTCATATATAAAAAGTTTTTTTATTATTATAATTTTAAGCAATATATAATTGGATTTGAATATATCCGGATAAAAATGCATTTAAACTCAAATTAATATCTGAATTTTTAAATAATATTTAATTAATATTATTTTACGTGTCATTCAAAAAATTTATTTATATAGATATACATGCAACATATCTTATCAAGTATAAATATATATTATATATATTTATATATGATTTCTTATAAACCAATTCACCTTTCCTTTAATTTACTATAATCTTGAGCTAATAATGTGCAAAAAATAATAATAATAAAACGAAATTGAAATGCATTGAAATACTAATATTGACCAATAATACAGTGACAAATTTCATCTTTATCTCCAAAGATAAGTTGAAATCATGAGAAGATTTGTGTTCCTATTCATCCAAACAAAATTACATTCCTTTTTTTTTTTGGCCAATCATGAAAGATTTTATTAATAGGATCAGAAGGATATCATAGACAATACATCCATATAACATGCAAAGAACATACTTATGAGTGAGTTATACATACCCTCCATGCATGCTTCAGGTTCTAACTTTACAGGCTAATGGGTGGGGCAGGTAACCCATCCTTACCCGGAATATGAACCAAGGAAGATGGGCATACCACAACGCAATTAGACAAGCGCATGTTCCTTCCGTACGAACCTGCAGTCCTGTCTGCAGCTTTATTTGCTTCTCTAGCAACACAACTTATTTTTACCTCTTCAAACCTTATCCCTTACTCCCTGTCTGATTCTCCAGTCAGCGTCATTAAGCTCTTACTCTAAATTTTTAGCTAATACGACAGAGTCTGTTTCCAAAATAATCTTTGGGAGATTTCATTTTCTGTGCAAGCCTTATTCCTTCTTTGTCTGCTACTGTCTCATCTTTTTATTTGATGTCAACTACCAAAAGCAAATCAAATCTTAAAATTTGTTCTTTCAAACTAATCTTTGTCTTAAGGTAAAACTTGAGTTTTTACTATTTGTAATTACTCCCAAATTACAAAGTTTTGACTCAGTAGTTCTCCAACATAAAAAATAGAAGTTCCCATACAAAGAACAAGAGGAAAAAAACAACTCAAACAAAGTTAATTATAATTTAATGTAAAGAAGATATAACAAATAAATTCACATTATAATGACCATAGAAAACTTACACAAATAATTGTAATTACGTAGGCAGAAGCAGACAGCCTAAACAAAAAATAAGAGAATTGTAATAAACTACACTAATTGTAATCCTCACGTTCTTAAATTATGGTAATGTCCACTTCCAATCCAATTATTGATCCCATGCCGACCATGATGTTCCAAAAAAATGACAGCTAAAAAGCTCATCAGCTCATCGATGGCATGGTTGACTATCCCACCCATCTCTTAGAATCTGATTCAATCCTTGAACATACCCTTTCTTTTGCTGCTCAAGATAACCCAAAGTCTGTGCCACAATTTTTGGGTCCTTATCCTCCGTGCAAAGACTACCTGATGATTTTGCTGAATTCCCATCACCAGAAATACTAATGTTCAACTTCAATCTGGAGCTGAAGTTGTTGGAGTTGGAACACATTTGGGAAAGAACAAAACAGAACTGTTCTGGTCCGAATACTTTCAATCCTGGATATAGTACTGTTGTTTCTTTGACATGATCACCAAATCCTGCCTGCATCCATATGTACTCCTCCATGCCATCTATGAGCCAAGGTGGAGCCCTGGACTCACCATCCCACAGCCATATCCGAGCCATGCCTCGCTGTATGGCTGATCTAACAGCGTACTTGACATTACTTTCTTCCATTATTGATGGACTTAAACTGATGACGTAAACAAACTCTTTGCTTTTGCTTGTCTCTACAATGACTTTGGTCGTCAGGTTTTTGCTAGCCAGTTGGAGAATGACATGGTGAACTGGTTTCTTGTTTTGGTTGGAATCTGGGTAAAGAATGTTTTCGACCAAGGCGCTTGTGTTCAGGATGATCCGTGTGCCTTCATCATTCGATACGTAGAAGAGAGCAAAGCGTCGCCCTGCTGGAGAGTCTTTGGCGTTGTTGATTATGGTTACCTTGAAGCCTTTTGATGCTTCGTGGTTTGCCCATACGGAGATTGTTCCAATGAAAATTACCAAAAGAAGCCGGGAAATAATACGAGAACTTGATAAGAAAAAATCCTTTTTATCGTCCTCTTTGGTGGTGGAGCTGGTAGCGGTGGTGGTGAGGGCGGAAGCAGGGGTAGCTAAGAGAGGTATGGAAAGGCTATAGTCCTCCATTAAAGGGTGCATAAAGGAGATGTAATTTAAGGGAGTGTTTGTACTGGGTAGGCCGAATAAGTAAATTTAATGGGACCGTATATAAAATATATAATGATCGCCAGCCAAACCAACTGTTCCACTAAATGGTTGCAACCAACTTGCTGAGATTGTTATTTTGAACTGTTAATCTAATTTGAAAATTAATTAAATCATTGATCTCTTTAATTACGAGAATAATGCCAAAGCTGAAAAGGTTTTAATTTTGTTCTAATGGAAATACTATAATTATTTTAAATACAAAATTAAAAATCCAAAATCCAGTTAAGCTGACTTATCTAAAAACAAAATTCAAAATTCAAAATTTTTTTAAATATTATAATTCATTTTTAAAAGATAATATTCAATATATTTAAATTTTAAATTTTAATATTTACAACTTAAAAGGGAAAAAAAAATACAACAATAAGCTCTTTGGATTAATGTACCCTCCAACCAATTAGCAACGCTCCACAAACTATTGGTTCAACTTAGTTTCCACGAAAAATTAAAAACCTTGTGGCAACGAAGAGAATTGCACTGTGAGTTGATATAAGAAAAAAACAAGGAGTGAAATGAAATTTTCCTTTGTTCATTCTATTGATGGTATCTGACCAGCAGCAAAATGAGACATGCCATTATGATAAAAATAGGCTGCTTGGGATTTAATTTGATGGCGGACGCTGTCGATGGAGATGGGTGTGTTGGCATAACTCCAAAAACATGTGAACCATTTGAATTGGTAGCATTTAGGACGGAGGAACTTGTGCTGCAATTTTACCATTGACAATGATATAATTTACACTGGTAATTCGGTGGAAAAAAAAAGTAGAAAAAAAAAAAAAGAAAGCAAATGAATCAGGCAAGTGGGAGGGATAGGAAAATTTACCTTGTGGATTGATACTGACATCTTTCACTACCTGCAATCATGATCAAGATGAATAAATCCTCAATTTCTATTGTAAACTTGTGTCACATTAATTCATAAGTACATACTTGTGAATGTCAAATTTGTCACTAAATTATATTTCAATGTTTAATTTGATTTGAATTGATTCTGTTTTATTATCCTACTTCTATTTTTATTCACAATTTAGTCAAAATTAGGTTCAGCATATAGTGCAAAATGCTTATCCAAAATCAAGCAACCATTTAGTCGAAATCTAACTAAGGTTGAAATCGCTTACAAAAGTTTTTATAACCCCAGTTCAGTCCAGTCAAGACATAAACGGCAACCATCAAAATTTGAAACCAAATGGCATGATATCTATCTAGCCAAATAAAAGGGATAAAATCTTAGACAATATGGCTCACTCCAAAAGGCCTCCACCTATCATACAATTGTAAAAAAATACTAATTAGGAATGTAAACGAATTAAATATAAAATGAATTTTATTATATTTATTATCTATTTATTAAATTAACGATTGCTAAAATATTATTTGTGATCATTTATTAAATTTATTCATGTTATGTTAGTTAAATGCTCTATTTGTTTACATCTTCATATGTAAACGAACCAAAGAAAAATAAATTTTGTTGTGTTCATGATTTTTTTATTTAATTAATGAATTTTAAAATATTATTAATAATCATTTGTTAAATTTAATAAACAAAAATAAGTCAAATTTATATTCGAATTATTTATCAAACGTCAAATTCATTTACAACCCTATTTAGACATTAAATTAGACCTTTTAAACAGTTTGGGACCAAAATAGAAGTAAATCCTTGGAAGAAGTATTGCCAACAAATATAGGAGTTGGGCTGAGTATTGGGAATGGGCAATCTAGGCCCAGCTCATTTCTTTAGTCAGGACTCTGGACCTAGAAGTCAGATGTAAAACCATGTTTAACTTACTCGGATCAGTGCTGGTAGTAATAGCAGTCCCTCCAAAATTACAGCTACTAGGAACTGGATTCTTCTGGAAATAGCTGTTAAATGCATAAGAAGCATGAGCACGAACTGTGTTGGGATTGTAACAGCTTCCTCCAGGCTGAATTGCTGCGCAGTCAGCACCACCATATCCACATGCATAGTCTAGAGCAACTTGTAATGCAGTTTGTGATGCACTTTGGCTAGCCACACACCAGCTGCCCCGTGAAGATATCGGACTTGTAATTATCGTTGGAACTGTCATCGGTGTCATGGTCACCGGAGATGTCGAATCCGGGTTGGAATTAGGATTCAACACTGGACTGGATGAAGTAGGAGTGGTCGGAATTATTGTAGGCATGGTTGCTATTGGAGTGCTAATGTCCTTTTGGTCAGTGAAAATATCAACCTTCCTTGTATCACTTGGACCTGAATCAAGATTTAAAAAACAGAGAATTTGGTACAAAAGGTTTGGTTGTTTTTATATGCAACAATTAATGACAAAAGGGAAAAGGGAAATGTTCAAAGTCGAAGAACAATGATTAAATTTTTGAAAGAACAGGCAATGGGTAGTGGAGTAAAAGAACAGTGCTGATTTTGGAAAGAGGGAGGTATTGCCCGCATGGGAAAGCTATGAAAATTCAATGTCCAACATGTAAATCGATGAAAAGTTTGAGTTCAAAGAATAAAACAGAGTAACAACTGCATCATCATTTTGAAATGACAATTTCACTACTGGGAACTGATTCCATGATTCAAAATTATAGTGAATTTGAAATATGAACATGAACAATTGAACATTAACATGTTAAATCATGCGAAGGAAGAAGAAAGTAAGGGATGTAGAATTGGTGAAAACATCATAAACCAGAAGAGGAAAAAGCAGTGAAGCAGAATTATATTTGAAATGGATGATGAAGCCAAGAACATGAAAGGAAAAGATGAATAAACCAAGTCACCTGGGCAGAGTAAGAGGCAGTATAGGAGGAATATTTTAGTGAAAATTTTCCTTGTATCCATTTCTATAAGGCCCTTATCACTTCCCGCTGCTTCTTCAACCCAATTCTTCATTGTTTTTCTGCTGTTGTTGGGACAAAGAAAAGCATAGAAAAACAAGGGATATCATAAACTAGAGGAACATCAATGATCGAAAATTTTGGACTCCTTTGCCATGTATATATAAATACAAATATATTTTGGAAGAGAAGTGCACTATTGTGATTGTGAGAAAGAGAGAGAGAAAGAAGAAACTTGGGAAAGGAAACATGACGGGGTGGGAAGAAGAAGCAAGAGAAGGGTGGCAAAAGGAGAGAAAAGGTGAATGGACGGTTGAAAAGGAAGTAAACAAAGAGATGATGGTAATGATGATGGTGATGCATGCATTTTGGCCTTTTTACTTTTTTTTTTTTTTTAATATTGGGTGTGTCTCCTTTCACTGTTTTTTAACAAGACTAAAAATTCAAGAAAGTCTAATTTTCAATCTAATTTAATTAATTAACGTAATTATTTTAAAAAAATAATATTTAATAAATTTAAATTTAAATTTAAATATCTATACTTTTTTTTACAGACTACTGCTCTTGTACCAAAAAAAAAAAATAAACCAAGAAAGCCTAACATTTATTTGAAGAAGCTTGTCTTTCGCAAGACATGTGCTTGCGATTGCTTTTTGCTTCGTATATATATTTGAGCAAAGCAAGCTTGTGTTTGATTAGAATAAACAACAAATTCAATGATCTTTGATTAGCATAAATTGAAGTCAAGTGTTTCAAATTTGGACTCAACTTGGATGCTCACTAGAGCTGCCACCTGAACCAGAGCAAAAGAAAGAAAAAGGACGAAAAGAAAAAGAGAGGGTAATTGGCTCAAGCTTCCCAACATGAGATTGAAACGTGCCCAAACTACTAAAAAGGATAATCAAGTTCTCTTTCTCTGTCTGTTTCTCTTCTTTTCTCGTGTTTGTCTTTGTGGGTTGGGATTGAGTTTTGGGGAAGTCATTGTGGTTGGTCACTACCAACTGCATATAATTCTTTTTGGTGACACTATCCTGTCTGAGTTTTTTATTTTCAAACTTTATTGTGTTAAGAGGCTGATATTCACAAGAGTTATTTCAGTTCGCAAGACGAGGAAATATTTTCTTTTTAATTTTTTTTTTATTTTTATCAATTGAGATTAGATTTCTCTTGATTGGTGAATGCAATAAATCAATATGTAACAATGAATTTTAAATTTGGAATTTAATTTAATTCATTAATATAATTATTTTTAAAATGTGATATTTAATAGATTTAGAAACCAAATTCTAATAACTGTAATAATTTTTTTTTCAAATTACAACCTCTTTTATAAAATAAGTTAATATCATGAATTATTTTTAAATTTTAATGAAATATTTAATACGGTAATGATCTAGAATTTTAAGTTAAAGAGTCATAAAAAATAAAATCTGTAACTTAAAATTTTTATTTAGCATATAATATGATATTATTTTATCAAAAGTTATGAAAATATATGTGAAATATAATATTATTTCATATTGTAATCATAAACAACATATATAAAAAATTCAAATATTGAAATAAAAAATATAATTATTAAATACGAAGGAAACTCAAATATTTTTATTTAAAATAGAACAATGATATGTAAATTATAAAATTTTCAAAATTTACACGTAGATAATACATTCAACAAGCTCTTAATTAAACTGTAGTTTTAATTTTGATTTTTAGTTGTGGTTCTCATGATGTATAAAACCTTTTTACTTGCAAACTTTACAAATTTTGCTTAAAATTTAATATACCTTGTCATTTATTGGTATTAAAGTATTTATATTATTTAATTAATAACACTATAAATAAATCATTCTATAAAAAGAAATTTTCATACTTTATAAATATATTCATTTATACTTAAATTTTTTTAGTGAAGATAGTTTAAATTTTTATTAAACTTGAAAAATAAATAATGCTTTTAATTTTTTTTTAAAAAAATTATAAGTTAAAAATTTATAAATAAAAAATTAATTAAAATAATTATATTATCTTGAGATGACTATTCATCTATTTTGGGAAGTATATTTAAAAAATTAATTAATTATATAAACTCAAAAATCTTTTAAAATTTTTGGGGGTTCATGACCCATCATACCATATGTGACACTATCATCGATCACTTTAATTAATTTATTTATAATTTAAATATTATATTAAAAATTTTTAAAATTTAAGTATCAACCAAATAATGATTCTATGCATGCATGTGTTGTGAAGCATCGTCAAATCAACTTTATTTCCCATGTTTATCCTGAACCAAAAAAAAAATCAAAACTTTTTTTATCATTAGTAATGAACATTTCAGTCAAAAGCTTCATCAGTTGATTTCTACTTAAATATGGAGGGATTATAAAAACAGTTTTGAATGGAAGGTCCCATCAGACCAAGAATGTTTCCAGGGACTCACCAATTATCTTAACTTCTAAGAAATTAATTAATGGCAATGAATTTGATTAAAAATTAAACATGAGAAAATGTTTTCTTTTTAACTTGGTTTCGTTTTTCTAAAAGTCTATGTATATAATAAATAAGAATCAAACGCAAAGAAACCATTTTGCAAGTATAAATGGTTGAAATTTTATTATTATTGAATAAAGGATTGTATATTTTCACTTATTTAAAAATTTTAAATGCTTGATTTATATAAATAGAATATAAAATTTAATTAACAAAATATAATTTTTAAAAATATGAAATAATGTAAAATTAAATTAATTTTACATCTATGTAATTGAATCCATCCTATATACAAAATATGTTCTCAATAACACAGTGGGGGTTTAGTTCTAGCATTTCCTTTGTAGAACGAGAGAAGTATCAAATATTGAATTATGCCCTCTAATTCTATATCTTTCAATTGCTAAAGTAAGGTAAAGTAGAAATTAATGGAGGGGGAGGGGGCCATGGGTTAATGAAGAAACTAGATTTGGTGAGAATGGTTTTCGAAGTGGACCGTCCAAAATTCTGTCCATGGAAATGCACTTTTGAGCAATTGGATAGATCGCTTTATTTTAAACCTCAAATAAAGCCACTTCTTAATTAATTAGATTATTTAAAATTTAAGGAATGTATTTGATGGAGACAACAAATTATAAAATTTCCCTAAGGCCAATAATTATGGTATGTCAATTTTAATTATTAGTGCCTGATACCCATCTCAAAATGCACTTTTTTTTCTTTTTTTTTCACATGGGGCACATTTTGAATCTTTGGACCATAATCTCAAAAACTACTTTAAACATGTGAGTCAGGATGGGATTAAATTAAGCATTGTTGAGGGCATGAATTTTTCTTTTGGATAAAAAAAATGAATCCCTAGCTACTATTAATTAATTAACTAGGTCTAAATCGAAATGCGCTCACTAGAAGGGAAAGAAAAAGAAAAAAAAGAAAAGAAAGAAGAGAAAGATTCTTGGATATGTTGGAGAACCAAAAATGTTACTTACCGTTGGTTAAACTTGAATTTTCTTTGTGAATTGCAATAAACAAAGATTGCAAGAAATTAAATTTATCTTAGCAACATGAATGAGACGAGGAGGACATGTTAATGGAATCCAAAGATTGATATACCAAGAGTGTAACCAATGTCTATTGGTCCGAGTGGCAAGGAGTTTGGTTCTCTTTAAATAAGATCTCATATTTGAATCTTGTAAATGGAGAAAACAAACTTGAAAGAACTTGTCTTTTTAGGTTGGTTGGGTTATAGTTTGGCATCTTCTCGACTTCAGATTTCATCAACCTCACTCAACAATCAATACTCATAAGACACTCTTAATCTCCCTTAGTCCTATGAAATATTTTCAACCCAAACAAACACAAATCCAAACCTTGTGCGCCCTTTCAACATAACCAAACACATACTCATATGCTCCCATACATCATATCTATGTGGATCTTATAAGTCTCATCTAGTCCACTCACAAACAAACACACACACCCATAAGATGTAGAACTCCAATATTCCTATGGGGTATTTATCTCACAAAATCATAAAACTCTCTTACATTTTTTTCTCATACCTAATCCTGTAGAGACTTCACCTATTTATAACCATACAAACTTACCCATTAAAAATCCCTCTACTCTTAGAATTTTTCTCCTGTAAGTCACACTTGTCTATTAAGAATCCATTTCTTTTTAGAATTATTCTCTTGCAAGTCAAACTTACCTATTAAAAATCTTTTTTCTCTTAAAATTCTTCTTTTGCAAGTATTCTTGTTCATCAAGCAATATAACTCAATAGTGAAGTTATTGAACATTGAGGGATCCCAGAGCAAAGATATACCAAGAGTGTAAAATTAATTGGTCAAAGAAACTTTTATTTTTTTGTGGAGGCTTAATCCCTGATTACTTGGTCAAAAGAGACATTAGAGGCTTCTCTCAAAGCTCAAATCCACAAATTGCATTCTCTATTTTCCTTGACATGTTAGTATTGTTGCAGGGAATTCAATGGTTATATGCCATAGACTAGCAGTGACTTGGTCGTGCAAAATGGGGAAGTAGAGAAGTAGGAATAGAAAGAATGGATTAAAGATTCAGAGAAAGAAGGAGAACAGCTATTTTCATTAATAAAATTACATCGTTACAGCTCTCTTCCTATATATGCCATAATGGCTAAATTCTATGAAAAAGTAAATTCTATCAGAATTATTGAATTATTGACAAAATTTCTGGGCAGCTGCTATAACCGAATTCCAGTTATAACTGTCTAATGATAAGCTGCCAAGTCAGCTCAGTTGGTTACACCGATCTTTCTGTCAGCTTCTCTGTAAGTCAGCTCCTGAAGCTTCCTCAGCTCTCAGCTCTTGTGCTTCTTCCTTTGCCAGCTCACTCCCTTCAATTTTCAGCTCGACTCCTTTCTGTTTTGGTTTCAGCTCAACTTCTTTCGGTTTTGGCTCATATCTGAGCTTCTTGTTGCAGTTAGGGATGTAAATGATACATTAGTATTCGTAACTACTCGGGTTCGATTTGAATAAAATTTGAATTTGGTTCGATTATTATCGAGTCGACTTCGAATAGCTCGACTCATCGATCGAACTGAGTTCGAGTATTCTTATACTCAATTCGAGTAGCTCGCGA